GAACTAATTTCTATTTGCATATCTAAGTTTACCTGCTACAGACCCTGCAAGGTGTCTGAAGGTGACTTCTAGGGAGAAACTCAGGCTGCGTGTGCAGTGGAGGCAATGATGACAAAGTGTCCTTTACCCAAATCCTGGGTCTCTGCACTGGGAGGCTTAGCTGATGCATGACTTCCCCCAAGGCCATTTTACACTCGGTCAGACAAAGCTCTGTCTATCAGCAACCACTTCACTGAGGTTTGGGTGATGCCTAAGACACCACCTCACTTTACAGTTTTACCAAATGCCCTTTCAGGCTCGCAGGTGAGGATCTGCCAGGTGAAGTCCGGCCTTATGTAATCAACGAGGTTGATGTGATCTGGGTTCCAGCCTAGACTCTTTGAAGTTGTTTGACTTTAGGTGAGCAATGGACCAGTTTCCCAGAAACTGTTTTGTTTGACTTCTCTTTCCTTATCTGGGGATGAAAGTAGTTTAAAATACCCAGGGCTTTCAGATATTATCTTTTAAAGTAAGTAATTAGAAAATGTGGGGTCATTGCACTATATTAAGTATTAAGTATACACAGGTGTGGAAAAAGTAGGTAAAGAGCTCTGTGCCAAAGTGTGCTTGAGTATAGCAAGCAGACTACAAACATTCTTATCATGTCTCATTTCTTTCATGTCTCTGCTCAAAGGTCAGCTTTTATTTATTTATTTATTTATTATTTTAAATATGTTTTTACTGATTTTTTAGAGAGAGAGGAAGGGAGAGAGAGAGATAGAAACATCAATGTGCGAGAGAAACATCGATGGGCTGCCTCCTGCACGCCCCCTACTGGGGATCGAGCCCACAACCTAGGCATGTTCCTTGAATCGAACCAGGACCTCTCAGTCCATGGGATGATGCTCAATCCACTGACCACACCAGCCGGACAAAGTCAGCTTCAGAGAGGTCTTCCCGGACCACTGTATACAAGACAGGCTCACCCCACCGACCCCCACTGTACCCCTTACCTGTATCCCTTCTCACCCTCTGTCACACTATGTGTGCAGTTCATTTGTCTCCTTCCCACTAGAGTGTCTCCTCTACGGGAATTTGTCTATTTTGTTCACTGCTCTGTCCCCGGCACTTGAGATATGACCTAGCTCACAGTAGGCACCACTTGAGTACTTTTTGAAAAGAGTGAATTAATGAACAAATATAAGACATGGGTTATAAAGCATATTTTTCTTTCTCGGGGAATGTTAGTGGTCTTGTGGGGTGAGAGCACAGGGTACACGTTGGGGTGTGCCAGAAAGCTCCTAACATGGCCCCATCTTCCCACCTCTTGGTATATGCCCTCGCATAACCCCCTCTCTAGAGCATGGGCTGGCCTCACTTCTACTGACTATAATACAGCCAAAGTGATGGGACGAGGTTAGGAAAGACCACTTCCCCTCGCTTGCAGTCTGTCTCTGGCTCTTGTTCTTTTGCTCTGATACAGCCAGCTGCCTTGTGGAGAATCTGCGTGTCGAAAAATGAGACCAGCCTCCAGCTAACAGCCAGGGAGGGAGGAACCCGGCCAGTGACCATGTGAATGAGCTTTGAAGCAGAACCTTCCCCAGTCGAGCTTCGAGACGAAGGCAGCGCCAGCCACCAACTTGACCGCAGCCTTGTGAGAGACCCTGGGCCAGAGGACCCCGTTAAGCCATCCCTTGGATTTCTGACTCAGAAACCGTGAGATAATAAACGCTGTTGTTTTAAGCTTAACATGGCCTATGGGGGAGATGAGACCAGAAGAACAATTTGGCTCTGGGTGGTGGAGGGCCTCGTATACCATGTGAAGAAGTAGTGGGCAGAATAACAGCCCCCCAAGATGTCCATGCCATAATCCCCGGAACTGGTGAATGTGTTGGGTTACTCAGGAAAGGCAAGTAAGGTTGCTAATAAACCGAGTTGAAGATAGGAAGATTACCCGGGACTAACTGAGTGGGCCCAGTGTAATCTCAGTGGTTCTTACAAGTGGAAGAGAGAGGCAGAGGGGTGATGTGATGATGTAAGCAGAGATCGGAAGGAAGCAGTTGCTGACTTTGAAGGTGGAGGGGGCAGGAGCCTGGGAACACAGGCATCTTCCCAAAGCTGGAAGAGGCAAGGAAATAGATTCTTCCCTGGAAACTAGAAGAACACAGCTCTCTCCAAACCTTGATTTCAGCCCAGTGAGATCCATTTCAGACTTCTGACCTCCAGAACTGTGTGATAATAACTTTGTCTTGTTTTAAGCCAATAAATGTGTGGTAATGAGTTATAGTACTAATAAGAATCTAATACAGGAATAGAAGCCCAGCATGGCATGGACTTTGGGTTCCAGAGCCTGCCTATGACCATCCCAAGAGCATCCACATACCCTGGTGTGCCCGCTCTTTAAACATACACTTCCTTATAAATGACCACTTATGGCCATGGTTGCTGCAAGATTGATTATGACACAATTGTTTCAGTTAGCAAATAACTTGCACAATGGGAACCACACAGGCCATACATTACTTCACTGCATAATATGTTTTGACAGTCCTTGGTTAACTATGGACTGGGCTTATGTATTTCTTTGCTTTTTTTTTTTTCCTGTACCTAATTTTCTGGTATCAAAGCACCCGGACTCTCTCTCTGGACATTTTAAAGGTTTATTTGTGTTGATTGTTCTTTTCTGTGGCAGCAGGTGGAATTTTCACCCCTCAGATAATGTGTAGGTTTTGTAATCGTCCCAAGACTTCGGCACTTCTGAGCATGTGTGGCCGGAGCTGGTTTCACAGGTCCGTGTCGGTGGAATGGTAAGGCGATGTGATTTCATTAACCTTCTTGCCTGTCTCCGAGATTAAAGGTGTTTCTGTGATGGGAGAAACTCAGCTCTCTCTGTTCCAGGTGAGAGCTAGTAGTGTTAGGGAGCCTAGTGGCATAAAGTGAGACTTGGTGCTTGATTCAATCAGAAGAATTAAATAAGAATTGCAAAGAAAATGACTTTTTAATGCTGAGAGAGAGAGAGAGAGAGAGAGAGAGAGAGAGTATTAGGAATCTCAAAAAGACATACAATACTTCAACCTTGTTATACTGAGATTTAATTTCATTGGCCAATTACAGGGTCAATACTTTCTGTTATTTTGACATATTTGTGTCTATGTGTTTTTGCTTAGGCTTCCTTATTTTTCCTTATGGACAAAATAGACCTGTGCACTGGTTTTCCTGGGATAGTCCCAGTTCTTAGTCTGTTTTTTTTTTTTTCAAATGTAATTCTTACTAGTGTTCACTTTCACTCTTTACTGTGTCGTGGCCGGATAATAAACTGTATGGTCACACATTTACTATGGAAAGTAACGCCAGTTTTAACATCTTGCATATCTGCCACCTGAAGTCATTCTCCTTCAGTTCCCATAGAATGTACAGTCTCCAACAGATCTGATAGCTGCTGCCCCATGCCAGCTGCACAGTGGAGGCCTGGAAGGAATGCTATGCATTTCCCGTCTCTAACTTAGCTGTCAAGACATGGCCCAGACCGAAGGGTGCAGAATCCATTGCTGTCTGGTTAGGAGGGCATCTGTCACACCCATTTAATAGGGTAGAGGTGAACCTGAGAGTAGGTGAGGAGCAGCAGAAAGCAGTGTGTAGGAAAAGGCTTCGAAGACTGACCAGGATGCAGGGTGCTGGTGGAGGGGAGGAAGCGAAGAGTATTACGAAGAAAACGCAGGAGGGACGAGGGAGACATGGCTAAAATAATTTAACTAATTCTGCCTGAAGGCATTTTCCTTTGGGGGTTGCTTTAAATGAGTAACATGATGCTTTATCGGAGGCCCCTTTCATCCTTGGGCATCTTACAGGCACGTCTGGTCCTCAACTGTGCAGGTAACTCAGATCCTCAGTATCAAGTACAACCAGCTCAAGCTACTCAAATATGGTTCAACTTCTTTTTAAAAAAGTGAATTCTGCCCTGGCCAGTTTGGCTCAGTGGTTAGAGCGTCCGCCTGCGGTCCGGAGAGACCCGGGTTTGGTTCCTGCTAAGGGCATGTACCTCGGTTGCAGTTTGTCCCCGGCCCTGGTTGGTCGTGCGGGTGGCAGCCACTCGATGTGTCCCTTTCACATCGATGTTTCCCTCTCTCTCTTCCTCTCTCTCCCTCCCACTCTGTCTGTACAAAAAATGAAAAAATGTCCTCAGGTGAGGATAAAAAAAATAAAATAAAAAAGTGAATTCTGCTGAAATGAGAAGTGATTTTTTTTTTGCAGGTTTCTTTTAATGATATGAACATGAGGGTGATTTTAACAGGGTAGAAAATGAAAGTATATGTGGAGGGAAAAAACAAGTGGGATCCAAGGGAGATAGCTGGAGGAGGGGATGATATTTTTCCTTGAACTTTGTGGATTGACTTTTTATGTAGAAACCTCACATTTTCCCCTCTGACCAGAGCAATATATATATATATATTTTTATAACCCACTGCCCGTAGGAGGTCCATTTATCCACTTGGTTCTTCTCTTGCATCTGGGTCTCTGAGAGCTCAGTCTCCCTACAAGGTGTCTACTTGATTTCAGTGATTGTGGCTGAAACAGTAGACCTAGAACCTTATTTCCATTTTCCCCAGTGGCCCAAAGTCACCCAGATAGTTACTGGGGGGGATCTTGAATAGAACTTAGCTTATTAAATATGGTTTAGTCGCTTTAACTTCACTTCTTTCTGATGTGGTCCTCCCTCTAATAATAAACCCTTTAAAATGTTAAGCCCTGGCCGGTTTGGCTCAGCAGTTAGAGCGTCAGCTCGCAGACCAGAGAGTCCTGGGTTCGGTTCCCACTAAGGGCACGTCCCATGGTTGCAGTTTGTCCCGGCCCCCGGTTGGGGTCGTGTGAGTGGCAACCAGTCGATGTGTCTCTCTCATATCGATGTTTCTCTCTCTCTTCCCCCCTCTCTCCCTCCCACTCTATATGAAGATAAATGCAAAAATGTCCTACAGTAAAATAAATAAAATAAAATAAGATCTTTAGAGCATGCTATTTTTGTATACTTGATGATATTTATTGAAAATGCAAAGAGACAAGGGGAGGTTATTTACACTCTTATTGCGATTGAGATCAATGAAAGGGAGACATGAGGCCAATTCCACATGGAATGCCACTGTGAAAGAATTAGAGCCAGCTGAGGAAGGTTTCTTTATTAGTATTTGCTCCAACGAACCTCCAAATTTTCTCCATTATGGACAACATAATTACCAACTCCTATAAGGAAGAAGGAGAAGTAGGTTAAATGATGTGACCACCAAATCACTAAATCATGGATAGCACGCTCCCAATCCTTGGCGCACTTTCCACAGCAGCCCACACCCCCACATCTGAACGCTCCGGGCATTTTCACCCTGTGGGCTTTTGGCATATTGTCCTTACCTTGGCTCACTGGAGTGCCTCCACTCAGAAGTTGCCAGTAGGTTCTGTCATTACTGTTCTCCTTCAAGCCCTGCACAGAGGTGATGTAGGGGCCCCACGAGGTCTCCACATATGTGAAACTGTTGGGGCAGTGAATGAGTTATGGGAACTTAGGATTTTTAAAGGCAACTCTACGTGGACATTTTTCAAACTTTAATGTACCTAAGAATCACTTGAAGATATTACCCCCAAAATGCAGATTTCCTAGCCCCAGATCCTTAGATTCTGTAGGTCTGGGCAGTCACCAGGAATCTTCACGTTTCATAAACACTCCGGGGGATTCTGAGGTGGGCAGTCCACAGTCCATGCCCAGTTAGGAAAACGATGCCCGCGGTCCCTGCCCCTCCCTCCCGCCACAGCAGACACTTGGAAGTCGACAGCTTCTACCCCCAGATAGTCACTGTCAACATTACTAAAACAGCAGACAAAAGTGTTAACCTGATGTTCTAGAAGCACCATCCATCCTAGGTTAGTAGCTTTTCTCTTAAGAAAGAGAAACAGGGAAGAACAATTTAACATTTCATGTTTGTTCTTTAAAAAGTGACGTGGTTGCCCTGGCAGGAGTGTCTCAGTTGGTTGGAGTGTCATTCAATGCACTGAAGGGTTGTGGGTTTAATTCCCGGTCAGGGCACATACCCAGGTTGTGGATTCTATCCCTGGTTGGGGCACATACGGGAGGCAACCACTCGATGTTTCTCTGCCTCTCTCTCCCTCTCCCCTCCTCTCTCTCTAAAATCAATAGAAATATATCTTGGGGTGAGGGTTAAATAAAAAAGTGACATGGTCAATGTGTGTTTCACATTCTTTAGTCACATTTCTGTACCTTCCTGGGAGCAACTGCAAGGAGCCTTTATCATTATATATATTATAAAATATATATTCACACATAGATATTTTCATAGATACTTGATTTTCTCTGTAGCATCCTACATCATGTTATTAAACACAATAATAGTCAGTTAGTTTGAAGAAATCAAGTAAACCACAGTTTTCAGAGACAAAGTCGATAACTTAATTTTAATATTAGACACCTCTAGCCCAGGGAATCTTTATCTAGGAGTCCGTGAAATCTCCTGAAAGGGGGTGGGGCTTGGAGAGGCTTCCAGGCAGTTGAGAAACCTCTGATTTAAATGATGTTTTGTGTGTATGTTCATTTTTCTGGGATGAGCATCCTATTCAAAGGGGTCAGTAAATCACAAAAAAATCTGGCTTAAGAAGTTCTATCTAGTGAAGGCATTTTCCTGATAGAAGAGCGGTCCCTGGGAGTTATCCATCCATCAAGTGAACATTAATGCCTACTATGTACTAGAAGATGAAAGGCCTCACCTCTTTATTTTTAACTCCTGCCATGAGATGTAGATGGTCAGCAAAACGTGTTTTAAACAAACTTTGTATTCATGTGCCGACGTACTTTTTTACTGAGTCTTTCAAAGCCACACTAAATCGCTTAACCTTAGGTTATATACAGACATACCGAAATGCAGCCTTGTCGATTTTCTGAGCTTCCTTCATCACATCCAGGAAGACAGAACCCTTGGGCACAGTGACTTCGGTGGAGTACGTTTTATTGATTTTCACAGTGTAATGGACTGAGATCCATGTGGACGGGCTAGTAGGTTCCACAGGTGTAGGCTCCTGAATGGAAAGGTTAAAGTGACCTGGCAGAGACAGGAAAGCAGACAAGGACTATTATTCGGAATACTAGACATGATGCTTGAGTTGGCACACCTATCCAAGCTCTCTCCATGGACTCCTTTCGTGTATGCAGAGGGGGATTTGTTACAGGAGCAAGAGGTGTCAATCAAGGGGCAGATCTCTCCAGCAGAAGTGGAAACCGGATACTCACCAGCTTGTGAATGCTCAACTCCCAGCTGTTGAAACAACTCAGCTGCCCCTCTCCCATTTCTCATGGAGGCTCTTGATTTTTTTTTTTTAACCTCTTTATTTCTTAACATTCATTGAAAAAATAGCGTGCCAGGCACCGAACTAATCATTTTACATGAACTGTTTCTTTCTGTTTTTACAAAAACCTGTTAGATACGATTATCATTTGCATTTCTTACATTAGGAAATTGAAGCTTAGAGGTTAAACATTTTGTCCAAGTTCCCTAAACCTGTCAGTGGCTGAGCCAGGAACTAATGAGACCGAATAAGTGTATGTTGTTGCAAAATCAGTTGTTTGGATCAATGATTCATGCTGCAATTCTTTACAACGCCACCATATTCCTTCTTATTCCCTGGAGGGATCATTTACTGTGCATAATAGAAAGGCGGGATGGCATACTTTGTTTAGGATGGGAATGATGCTCAGACCATCCCTCTGTGTCCAGCAGTCAGAAAAATCCCTTTGGAGACAGACATCATTTAATCAAGTCTACCTTGTTTATCAGCGTTTAAACCAAGAATGACACCTACTGCCCAGTTGAAAATAAATCCTCAGGTGGGTATAATCTCTGATGACATATCAAGAGCTGAGTTCTGTCTGGGAACTGTGATGCTTTAGACATTCCTTTGGTCACCTTTGGTCCCTAAAACCACCTAAACTCATGTGCTGTGGGTGTGATGCTGAAAGGCAGAAGCAGTTTGCTCTTTAGAGCTCTACCTGAACCACAAGAAGAGTGATTGTTGACATCCAAGTAGGTCTTTCCCATCAGGGCAGGTAAGATCTGGGCTGCGGCAATTGGCATACGGAATGCCCCCTTAGGAATTTCCTCGAGCACTGTGTTCAGAGTTTGTTGACAATTCCATTCATTTTTGTTGTCATGGTTTGATGAGACAAAGAGAGCCTAATGAGAGAGAGAGAGAGAGAGAGAGAGAGAGAGAGAGAGAGAGAGAGAGAGAGAGGAATGACTTTAAATAGGGGAGAGTTACATCTAATATAGCAAATATTTATTTGACATTGACTACATAGGAAGTATCTTAGACAACTAAGACATATTTCCTGCCTCCAGAAAGCTTATAAACTATTTTGGTTGGGGAGGTGGGTAATTGCTTAATAATACAAACTATAACAGCACCAATGAGAACAGACTTTCTCTACCATATTCATTCTTGTATCCCCAACACTAGAACAATACCTGTTATATAGGAGGCACTCAATAAATACCGTTAACAAACTGCTGGGAAGGAGCCCCTGAGATGAATGGTCTAAGAGAAGCATTTAGTGGTCCAGTCTTCCAAAAGAGGAAGAGCTCTAAACACTTAGTGGGGCCGAGGAAGAGCTTGGTGGAGAAGGCAGTGCCTATGATGTGATGGTATTTCAGTAGCTGACATAAGGAGGGGAGCCCTGTACCGGAGGCATGACAGAAGGTGCTAGAGTAGCAGTGGCCAGGGCATGGCCAGGCAGTGCTGAGAGTATCTGCATTTTTAGAAAAATCCCCAGAGGGTATCTCCTGGTCTGGGAGGACTGGTGTATAGGGAACACTCAGGGACACTGTGGAAGAACAGTCTGGACAAGAAGGTTGGGACCATATTGGTAGACCCTTGAATTTTAGGGCAAGGTGTCTGACAGTATTTGCCTCACAGTGGGAGGTTTAATAGTTTCTTGAACAGAAACTATCTGGGTAGCAGATGTAAACTAGATTGAAGGAGCAGAATTATGGCATAGGAAAAGTTAGGAATGCATGCAGTGGTTCTCAACCTTCCTGATGCCACAACCCTTTAACACAGTTCCTCATGTTGTGGTGACCCCCTCCCCCAAAATTATTTTTGTTGCTCTTCATAACTGCAATTTTGCTACTGTTATGTCTTAGGCATAACATGCGAAAGGGTCGTTTGACCTCCAAAGGGGTTGCGACCCACAGGTTGAGAACCATTAGAGTGAGAAACACAAGGCGTGAAATAGGTTGGACTTGAAAGTGTTGCTCTGTAGTTTCTGAGGGAAGCACAGTCCCCCATTTCCATTTTTTCTTGAAGATCCTTAAAGTTAACAAGGAGTCAACAAGCGTTTGTGGCTTATTAAAAGAAACAATACTGATCATAGTACATCTCTTTTTAAAAACTGTCCTGCAGGTAGGAAGCTTGTGATCCTGCTGTGAATTAATATCACCTGTAAGGCTTTTAAACAAGACCCAAGGCCCATGCTCCACCCTAAATTTCTGTATTAACTGGCTGGTGTGGGGCTGACACATGAGTGTTTTCTAAAAGCCCCTCAGGTGATTCAAAATGTGCAGCCAGAATGGGAAGCCACTGTTTTCTAAATTCAAACTTAGCAAGGCAGACAACATGGATAGTAACAACCACAGAAACAACCTTATGATTGGACCCTTGCCTACAACACCAGCCTCATGCTGTAATTTTTCCCAAGGACCCCATGCTGACCATGCTGAACACCTTGCTCTTCCTAAAATGTGTAATGTTCTTTGGTGTCTTTGGTCTTTCTCCTGCTATCCTCTGTCCCTTTGAAGGTTCTCTCATCCTGACTCAGCTAACTCCTATTCATCCTAAAGATTCAGTGAAAAAAAATTTTTTTTTTTCTGTTAGCATTCCTTGGTCTCTTCTTGGAGTTGAGTACATCACTAGAGGAATAAAGTCCTAGACATCAAGGAACATATGCACAGCATTGTAGGTGCTGAGTGTGAGTTCTGAAACCAACTATTTAGGTCTCAGCCCCATCTGCATCATTTTCTAGCTTTGTAATATCAGGCAAGTTATTGATACTCTGTGACTCACGCTCTTATCCTAGGAAGTGAGGTAATGATTCTTCCTCTTTGGGTTGTTGTGTGCATTGATGAGTTGATACCAATAAATACCATCTGCTGTTACTGCCACTGCCACTAATACAATCTAATTTGGGAGGCAAGATGAAAACTCAAAACGATAGTTTATGGTGAAGTATGAAATTGCTTGTGATAGAACAAGATAGATTGTAGTTGTAGTAGATGCTAGAATTTCTGAGAGAAATTGCAGTCAGGAAAAGTTTCATAGAAGCCTTGGATATGGTAAGTAAAGATGGAAGGTAAGGAGAACACATTCCAGGCAGGGAGGGGAATCATATGAATAAAGTCAAAGGTAGTATAGGAAACAGAGTGGATAATAAGATCTTGGGAGGCCAATAAGAAAGGACAAAGATATTGTTTCCTCCGTGACTCTCTTCTCCGTCTCCTGTTTTAGCCTCTGACTTACCTGCATAGCTTCTCCTGTGCTATATATGTTTCCAATGAGACCATTTTCTTTATTTTTCTCAGCCAGCATCTTTTTTACCAGTGACTCTATATAATTACTGATAGACTGTAAATCCTCTCCACTTTTGTTCTGCGTCTTTATCATGCTCCTCTTCACACAGGTCAGAGCCAGGACAGCCATCGCGCCAGTATCTGTCAGGAACCCAAACATTGGTGACAGAGTGACCAACCATACCAGTATGCCATGGACTGATGGGTTTTCTGGGATGTGGGACTTCCAGTGCTAAATGAGGAACATAGCTGGGTAAATTATGCTAGTTGACTATGTGAGAGAAGGATTTCAAGATATAACAATCACCCTTTCAACACAAATCGCTCAGATATTTTAAGATTCCTTCCTTAAGTTGAGTGGTCATTACCTTGTACTCAATAACTCATATCTTGGTCACACAAACACATGAATTTGCAGGTGCACACACATGAACAGTCTCCCATTTTTAAATCTTGTTTTTTTTTTTTTTCCTTCATTTTTTCATCTTTCAACCATATTGGCAAAGGAATGAAAATGAAAGATGACACACCAAACAAAATATGTCTTTGTAATGTTCCAAGGTTTCCATTAGACTGATCAGAAAATAGCACTTAAGAGAGTTTTCCAATGAACTTACTTAAGGGGAACGATGAGGCAAGAGATCAGAAGAAGGGAGGATAAGGTGTTCGTTTCTGACTTGTTACTTGGTTCCCCCTAGGTAGTGGTCTCCCACTTTTATAGGGCAAGGAGTGTGAGAAATCTCACATCTTCCTTGTTATCCAGAGATACTGAGTAATTTTCTTTGTGCTCCTTAGAGGAAGACAAGCTTGTATACCTGGGTCTGTAGGGGATGAGCGCCAATACTAGCTGTCTAGAGGGGACATTTTGGATTGGTAAGCTGACCCAGTGGAAAATTTCTGGTTCTTCCCTTTGTGAATACACACTTTATTGATAAAAATATTGGGCCTTTTCACCTGGAGAGGTTATGTTGTTCAAGTACACTCACACATCCAAATGGTCCCAATAAACTGGAAAAAGAGGCAAGGGGTTAAGGAAAATGAATCCCACTGTATTCTCTTTCTCCAGCACTTATTCTTCCTAAAATGCTTTATATAAAGAGTCTCAAGTTTTATCCTCATTTTACAGATGGGAAAATTAAAGTTAAGTGTTAATATCCATTGGTTCTATAACTCAAAGAAGAGCTGAGATAGGATCCAGGTTTTTCTACTATACTACATAGCTAGAAAGAGACTTAACTGCCCCCCTCTCCCCATTTTCATTCTTCTCAAAAAGAAAATTTCCTTCTGAGGACATTAGGGTAGATGAGATACAACAACAACAAAAAAATCTAAGTACTTACTGATAGAAAAACTCTAAGGGCAAGACCCACTGATGACTGTGTCCTCTCTATCAAGGGAATTGGGTTTAATGACTCACCTACTGAGAACTGAGCACCAAAGTAAAAGTTCTTATTTTCAGGAGCGAAGTATTTTTTAATTTCATCGATTGAGTAGGTCCCATTGAACAGACACAAGGCCAGAACATCCAGGCTGAGCTGGTAATAGTTAGTCAGCGGATTGCCATCATGTAGTCCTGGCAGACAGAAAAGAAATACCTTACTCATAGAAGTGGTACTGGGGTAATACATTTGCAGTCTATTCCTACTTCCTTTATTCCCATTTCTTTATATTTAAGGAGAGGTGAGTAATAGAAAGGAGAATTACTCATAGAATCAGCAAACTTGAGAAATTTAAAGGCTCTTAAGAGTCACCAAATTCAAATCATTGCATTTTATCATGGAGGAGTCCCAGCACTGAAGACATTAAAATACTATTTAGGTGGTTATAGAGCTAGGACTAGGACATGGATTTTCCACCCCCAAGCCTTTTGTATTTTCAATACTAACATGTTGAAGCTATAAGTAGAAGTTGAGGCCATCTCAAAGAAGGATGGGGTTGGAGGGACTTAATTAATAATAGGATATTGAGTAGGAGTTGAAATATAAACAATGCACCTCATTGGCTGCTGTCATGGTCAACCTATTTTTCCCAGTGATGGGAAAAATATTTGGCTATCTTTACCTTCCATACTAGTGTCAGATGCTTTGGTACTTATGACACAGTGCCTTGTATTGCTCAGTTATTTCTAGTGTGATTCATTATTTGTTTAAAAGTCAAGCTTGTAGAGAACTATGTTGTGTGTGTGTGTGTGTGTGTGTGTGTGTGTTCACCATCATATGTAAGGTAGTGCCTGATGTAAGTGAATGCTCAGTTAAACATATTTGTAAAGACAATTCAAGATGCATGTAGAAAGAGGGAAGAAGGGAAGGTGATCTACAAAGACAGAGTGGGATAAATAAAATGAAGAGAAGGAAGAGTGGAAGGAAACTTCATAGAGTTATGAATCAGCAGAGAAGAAGACAAGTTTGTTCAGGCTCTCTGAACACTTGATTCTCACCCATATTTTCAATTTCTTCTTGGAATTTCTTTTCTAGTTGGCTGACCAGGTGAAAATATGTAACACTTTCAACAGAGTTCTGACATGCTCCCAAAGCCAGTATAACCAAGGCAAGCTGTCCCGAGGTTAAATCTGACCGTGAAAAGAAAAGTATTCAATTTTAACAAGGTTTATACTTCTAATAGTTTTGGCCTCCTGTCTTTCTTATGACTTATGTTGCTGGTCATTTATTTATTTATTTTTTGTTCCACTCTATGCCAATATTGTACCATTCTCATCTTTATCACTCAAGCGAAGCCTTTTCTAGCTGTACTGTAAAAATGTAAGCTAGTTTTTAGTATTTCCCATGAAATTATAAGGTCTTTTTGGAATCAAGAAGTCCTTATAAAAATAAAAGAATAGTAGAGAAATAATGAAATCTTGGAATTTTCTCTCTTTGTGGGTGTTATCTTGCCAGGATAGTAATAGCTGACTTCTACATTCTGCCTTATAGAGTATCAAAACTTGGGCTTTTTATAATTCTTACAATAAGAGGTAGGTAAGAGTAGCTTCATTTCTCTCTTATATTAAATAGAAAGCAGAGGCTCTGTATTGATATGAAAGGCACACGGTGGAGCCTGGATCAAACCCAGGCCACTTCTCTATTTTTCTATGATTACCTCTCCATTGTCAACTTTCTTAGGTGTGGTCCACATCCTCATCTTGTTGGGAACTCAGCTAGCTTACAGAACAGTATTAATGGGTAAGATTCTATAATTTCTTTTGCCAACCCTAGCCAGTGTGTCTCAGTTGGTTGAGCATTGTTTCTTGCACTGAAAGGTCACTGGTTTGATTCCTGGTCAGGGCACATATCCAGGTTTCGAATTCAATCCCCCATCAGGGTGCGTGTGGAAGGCATCCGATCGATGTGTTTCTCTCTCTCTTAAAAAAAAATCAATAATTTCTTTTGCCTTTCCTGTGACCTCTTGAAGAAAAATGGTTTTCAGGAGCCAAAGAAGTAAGTGGCTCTAGGGAATTGGCAGGGGATTGAGAGGCACTGTTCTGTCACCTTAAGCTTTATACAGCTAAGATAGATGTAGCAGGGATACGTTGGACACACAATTTTTAGGACTTGCTGGAGACACTCTTTATAGATAGGTAACTGTTATCCCAAATCTTCCAGAGAATATAGGTACTCACCCTTCTTTTCCCCATCGTCTCTGACTTCTTGAGTCAGCTGTCCTAAGCTTTGGTCCTGGATCCCAGCAAGTCTGAGGGACAACAGGACATTGGCAGCTTGGATTCCTCTGGTATATTTTGAATTGATCATTGTGTTTATTAGAGGGTTTAAACGGGAGTAGTTTTCGTTGCTTACCTCTGTGGCAGGGGAGGGAGGAAATAAGAAACGTAGAAAATATTAAAGCTAGGAACAGAGGTGGTATTAAAATACTTAGTAACAGATATGGTACAGACATAGACCAATCCAGTGGTCATTGGCTGTGTTGCTGGAACAATAAAAGATGGGTCTGGAGCCCCTGCTATGCCAGGTGTTAGTCTTTTACCAACCAGCATGGAAGTATTTCACTATTTTAACCACTGGTTCAGCCTTATCACTGGATACTGACAGAATGTCAACCCGCCTCAGAGATCTAGTATCATTCCCTAATTTTGAATATGAGGTCTACAGAGGGTGTCCTGGAAGAAAACTTGGTAATCAGAGGCTTAATTGAGACTAGAATACACATCTTTTGTCCCCCAGTCTATATCCCTTTCTCATTTCTGGGTTCTGTTCTTCTCTTTTACATCTTCTTCTAACTCAATTCAGTTACTAGAGGAAGAGAGAGAAAACATTCTATGTTATATTGGTGATTGACCCCAAAGCTGGTTTGTCTGATTGCCCAACTGGCCAGGCATTGAGGTCATTGTTCAGCAGTATGCACACTTTGGAAAACCCTCCAGTTTCAGCCAACAACCTGTCCAAATCCAAGGTGAAAAGATGGAGTCACATTATAATGTGGAAGGAAAAAGAGAATCTGGAGTCTCCCAAGAACTGGAGGAGAACAAGAAGAGTTAGTTACCACTTAGAACATTTCTAAATATGCTTTGCTTATAATCCCAAGAAAATCTTACTCATCTCCAAATTATCATGGGTTAGTGGGATAGTGAGAACATGAGCTCTGGGTCCAGCCAGACCATGGGTGGATTCTGTGCTCCTTAACTTACGACTGTGGGAAGTTATGTAGCTTTCCTGACCTTCAGTTTCCTTGCTTTAAAATTGTGGATATTAACACCTACTTCATAGATATTGAACAAGAACTCAGTAAGCTGTAAAATATACTGTACAAACTATTACTTTTAGCTTAGCTGGAGCTTCTATCCCTATTCTTAGAGAATCCAGGATATAGATTTCCCTTGTCCACCTTTCTTCATTTTAAAATAGGGAGCAGGAAGATCTGAATTGAGTGACTTTAGAAAGGTCATGTTCACCTAGGTACAATTGGACAATTGTAAGTCATCTCTGACATTCTGTGGAAGCATCCAGTTCAGCAGATTTTCTGGCTCTGAAACAGACTCTTTAGTTCCTTGCCAACAACTCCAATCAGCTTCCTTGACTACTAATGAGAAAGTTAATTATTTCATGCAATGAATTGAACTTCAAAGCCTCCAGAGAGACCCCCTACTCTTAGACTACAACAAAGAAAATGACAAGCTAGGAAATAAAATTAGAGTTGCCCTAGTTTGTGCTTTAGCTTGTATGAATACAGTCTTTCTGTTGTGGTACTGATCTCTTCTTGTAGGCTACAGAATACCAGGAAGACGTAGCCACAGATGGCACCATATAGTCATCTTTGGACTGACGTGAAGCTCAGTTCCTGGATAAACACTTAGATGCAGAAATCATGCACCTGAAAGCTACACCAGACTTTAAGAAATTACTTGCTTCAACACCCTTTCCTGATTATCCTCTATTTATGAATGAAGCTAAAAAAAATCAGAAATATTGGATCATTTCGCTACTAAGAGGTCAGATTAGACCTGAATCCACTTTTTTTCCTCCTCTTACTACATTTTAATAGAACCACATAATCACTGAAGCTGACACCCAAAAAAAAGATGATGGAGCTTATACCTATGTCCTGTAGAAAAAAGATGAAGGGAGGGTGATGTGTAGCTTGGAAGAGCTAAAGTCAACAATGACAAGAGAACAGTTTTCATTATTTAAAAGAGATTATTAACATTACTTTTTTCTGTGTAGTCACAGAGTATTAATCCAAAGCTCATGGATTAACTCCAGAAAAATAGATTGTATCTTGATATCAAAAGACAACTTTTCATGATCTTGAACAATTCCTGGGGTCATGAGTTTTCTACCATTGAAAATGAACAAAAACAGACAGTTACTTGGCAGTGTCAGTGTGGTAGATAGAGAGGATCTGATCATAGAAAGAACTGTTAGGCAAGTCAACATTGAATCTATGATCCCTCTTATAATAATATACATTGTGGAACTTTTCTTACCATCTCCAGTCACACTTTATATTACTCATAGAATCCAGCCACATATAGAGCTGAAATAGGGTGTTTTCTCAGGTAACTGTACAGTTTCCTGTCAGTAGCTGTCAGGAGACTATCACAATAGAGTAATTTTAGATCAAAGGATACTCACCACAGATGGTGCATGGTTGGCCTGGAATCAGAGAAAACAATAGGAGCCCCACTAGGGGCAGCTGGTGTGATGGTCCCATCTCTCCAACAGCGTGTTGGGATGGTGAGGACTTGGCTGGCTATTTATTGGGTGACCGACAGAAGATAGTGAGAGTTCCTCCTTCAGTTGCCACAACCTCTTTCACCCAAGCAAATATTGAGCAATTCTGGTAGGTGTGGTCAAATGTATTTTTCCAAGTAATAGGACAAACCAGGAAGAAGACTTGAAAGGTATGGTTAGGGAGGATGAGGAAATGATTTGGCTTTGATTCCTATCCCAAACTTCCAAGGTTCCCTTTTCTTACTTGTCTTCAGCCCAATGAGAATAAATTAGGTGAATGACTATTTTCAGCAATAGTTCCCTTTTTTTCTATTCTGCTTTTGTTACATTTTGTTTTTTAATGTGTCCCAGGACAATTAGATTTGATGGGGAAAGGGTTTACAACACAGAAGAAGGGAAGCAGAATTGCTAAGTCGGAAATTGGAGCAGGCAGGGTAAGAGAGCCTGGCACATGGGAGGCAGAGTGCTTTGTGACCAATGATTTTTCTCCTAAGATAGATGCCCTGAGAATGTCCAGGCCAGGAGGATAACCACAGAGGTGCACAGCATGGGTTTTTGCCGTGCCAGGCAACATGCTACATGCTACATGTGTGAAATGTTGTCTATCGGTTCTTCCAAGAACCTCTAGTGAATGCTATCAATTTAGCTTTAAAATGCTTGCTCTGGGTCAGCAAGATGATGGAATAGGAGGTCCCTTGCTCACATCCCCTCACAGAAACAATAATTGATGCAACCATCCATGGGCAGAAGTTCCTGTGCGGGAACTTTGGGTCCCAGGTAGGAGGTCGGGAAACCCCAATGGAGCTGCTGAGGGGGGCTGTATTGAGAAGGCACATCAACGGAGACAGACTTGTATTCATACAAGCTAAAGCACAGAATCAGCCAACTATAATTTTCCTTCCTGGCCTGTCATTTCCCCTGTTGTACCCTGAGAAGGCAGATTCACTGACCATGGTCCTGGCCACAGCCTCAGAAACAGCCTTATGTAACATAAGTCCCTTAACCTCTGTGAGTCCCCATTTTTTCCTTATCAGAAAAACGTAGGTAATAATAGTTCTTCTGTCCTAAGGTTTTGTGAGAATTTTGTGAGTTATCACAAGGGTGCTTAGAATAGTACCCAGTACATAGACAGTACATAATTCTTAACTCTTATTGTCTCAATAACCATCGACTTAGTTGTATCTACTTGAAGTCTGATTGTCAAAACCGACACCTGACTCCCTCAATCACAGATCTAATCAGTGTCAAACATTCTGCCTCTGGAACCAGTCTGCTTCTCCCCTTTACTGCCATTACTCTGGTCTAAATTGCCCTAATTTCTGTGCCTCCACAATAACTTCTAAATTTTTGTCTTAGCCACTTATGCCCTCCTCCAAGTCATTTTCCCAAACTTGAGCAGCGTCTCCCAAACTTGATGAATATGTAGTCTCCACCTAAAGAAAAGGAATTCTTGAGAAATTGCAGTTTGACACACAGCCCTAAGACTTTGAATCTGGGGAAGTCTGTTTTGAATTTTTCTTGCAGAAGAGATAATTTTTATTGTCCTGGTAGTGTTTTTTGTTTTTTTACCCCCAAAGTTATTCAAATCCTCATATAATTGAAAATATGTCCATGACTCTGGGTGCTCTGAGTACTGTTTCACACCTCCAATGATCTTCCAAACCATAATTATGATTCTTTGCTTCCTGGTTAAAACCTTGAAGGCTTCCATTGTACTTTGAATAAAACTTCATATTTTAAATGTGATCTCCAAAAACCTATACCTTCTGACCCTTGCCTCTCTCATCATTTATTTCACTATCTTGTATATTATGCTCCAGACTTAGCTTCTATTATGCCAAGTTCCTTCCCATCTCAAGGCTCATTTGCATGTGTGGTTTTCCTCTTTTGAATGCTGGCTTTCAGGTGGTGCTGCTTCCTGTCCCCTCCAATGGCCCACTCATCCTTCCCCTTAAATACCACTTATTCAGGGATGCTCTCTCCGCACCCTCAGACTGGGTTATGTCCCCCATTCTCTACTCTCTTGGTAATCTGTTCTTTCCTTTGTAGTACTTTGGAGAATTGCAATTAGTTACTTGCAGAATTATTTCTTAACTGTGTTGTTTAATGAATGTCTCCCTGCCAGATTGTGAGTTCCTTAAAGGTAAAGGTAAGTCTTTCTTGTTCACTGTTGTATCTCCTATGTAGCATGCGAAATGTCTACTACATAAGAGGCTGTCAAATGTTTGCTGAAAGGAACCATGTCAGATCCAAAGCCAAATTATAAATTAATAACACATATTGGTAGATAATTTCATTGGAACAAATACTAGATGTTTATACAGGAACAAACTGGAAAAGTAAGTGGTCGAGACACGTGGCTACCATCAGGATTGATAGAGCATTTAGAATTTAAGCATCTGGGATTTGGAGTCAAGGTGACCCAAGTATTAAATATGTTAGTCATCTACATTTCCTTCTCCAATCAAGCAGATCCATTTTGAGATAATCTACACTCCTTTATTTTCACTTCTGTGTGCTGATAAGCAAGATTTACATAATTCTCTTATTCGCTTGACTTTCTGAAGGTGAATATTGAGGAATGAGCCAAGCACGAACATGTCTAGTAATACCCAAGTATTTTCCAAGGCTTATCAGCAGAGCAAGACAAGGTCCTAAGGGCTCCCAAGTTACTCTGAGTTCAGCACAAATGGCCTCAGGTCTGCTCCTGCATCACATGTATGGGGGCTGGAATAGGGTTTGAGTGGAGGTACAGATACCATATATCTATGTAAAAGTTATAAATCAATTGAAGAAACTCTTACATAAGATCTGTTCTACCCTCCTGTTTTGAAAAACCAACTTTCATAGTGAGACAGAAGGAAATTCTCAGTCCCCAGAATTCCATTCTGGAACATGTCTATGTGGTAAGTGCCATCATCCACCTGCATTCTACTCCCCTCCCCATGGCCCATTTTTTTTTCTCTTTCCAACCCTACTCTGACCGGTGTTTTAAGGGCCCCCACACATGCAGCACCTGTGTGTGGACACTGCGGATGACACGTCCAAGCTCTGTTCATATTTCTAGCAGGCAACTGCCCTTTGGCCATCCATGGGGTGCAGGGTACAGAGACCTGGGAGGGCAGACTCAGAGAAGGGACTCATGCAGGCCTTGGATGTGAACTCAGGGCTGTTTGGGCAGGGTATTCTGGGGGCTTGTCCTCTTGGTCCAACATATCTTTACCCCCAAGTGAAGGGCACAGTGGAGAAGGCCAGAGCGAGGCCCTCTAATTCATGGGTCCCTGAGCAGAAGCCCTTCCCTTCCATGCCAGAGGGTGATACAAAGTGGCATGGTGGCAACTGGTTTACCCCATCTTGTTGTCCTGTTACAATATGGAAATGTCTAGAATGACTAAAGCTGGGAACAACTACATTGAAATGCTACATTGAGCGAAGGCTGCTTTGTCCCCCTTGATGAAAAGCCTTTGTTAAGACTGCTGATTCTGGAAACTCTCCCAAAGTCATGCTAGTTGGACTGATCTCTCTGTGCTTTTAGCTTATTCCAGATTCTCCAAACACTATGAGCACTAGCTCACGTGTTTCACAGTGTTTCGGTCATGTAGAGGTTGGAAACACCACGAGAATCCGTGACGCAAAGTAAGATTTGGATTCCCTTTTTTATTCCTCGTTGATTCATCAAAGATGACATTTATTTGTTTATTTATTTATTATTATTATTATTACTATTTTTAATCCTCACTAGAGAATATTTTTCCACTGATATTTTTAGATAAAGTGGGAGAAGGGAGGAGGAGAGAGAGAGGGAGAAAGAAACATCGGCTGGTTGCCTCCCACACGACCCCAACCCGAGCTGGGGATCGAACCTGCAACTGAGGCACATGCCTTTGACTGGGAATCAAACCCGTGACTCTTCGGTCCACAGGCCGATGCTCTGACCACTGAGCAATCGTCCAGGGCAAAGATGACATTTATCGAGTGGCCTCGAGGCACCTCTGATTTCTTATTTTAAATTATGACCTTACACTTCAAACCAAAGGACACAGATGTTGGTGGGTTTTTCTTAAGGCTCTACTGTAAAACAGATGGAAGTAAGATGGAAATAACTAAAGCAGAATTGGAGGCCCGCCTAGCTTCCTCCCTCATGAAGAGTCCTGAGGACCCCTGCTCAAGGTTTCTCGAACCGTGAGCCTCCACGAATCACCTGAGGCAGTTGTTAAACATGCGTATTCCTGGGCCCTGTCTCTCTAAGTTAGACTCTGACACTTCACATTTCGACAAGAAACTGCAGTGATTCCTATGTACTCTGAAGTTTCCACCTACAACAGATTCCACTGGACTAGAGAATGGCTAAAACATTTTTTTTTTTTTTACCTTTATGACAAGTTTTATTAGCGATGCCTCCTGTGCTCACTCTCTGGGATAGGTCAGTGCTATTAACCCCATTTCACAGAGGGAGAAACAGACTCAGAGGGGTCAGATGCTTCACTTAAGGTCACACAGCATGTGCGAGGCAGAGGCAGGACAATTAACTAAGCTTATTTGTTGGGACAAAGCACAAAGATTTGTGATTCAGGACTCTAGGGAGGTCACTCTGAAACTCTTGGAACTCAGACGTCAGGAGGCCAGATATACGCATACAACATCTGTATTTTTATATAGCACTCCAGGTAATGTTGATCATTCTGAAGTTTGGGAGCCATTGCACGGGGCACTTTCTAAAGGGATCGTTTCTGAGTCAATGGGTCTCCAAGTGTGGCCCTGGCACCAGCACCAGCTGCATCAGCATCACCTGGGAACTTTCAGAAAAGCAAATTCTCAGGCTCCACACCAACTCTGAATAAGCATCTCTGGGACACAGCCCGGCGACCTGTGTTTCAACAAGTCGGCCAGGTGATTCTGATGCTGCTCAAGTTCTGAAACCACAGGCTTAAAATATCTCCCTGAATGTCGTTCCCCAACAATTTATAAACAGACATTGACACTCCTAAACACTGTTTCCCCAGGACCTTCAGAGGGCCTGGAGGAGTCACAGGTCTCAAAGATTTGCTGGTGGCATTTTAT